GTTTGCTCCTTAGAACTTCAAAGAACTGGAAGAAAAGATGAAGTTCAAAGTCAATTCTAGAACTGAAGAGAAGAAGTCAAGCCAGTTAAACTTCCCAACCGCAAGCTCAAAACGAAGGAAACTCTAAATTATCTAAAGTTCTTCAAACTCCATTCTCCAGTGAAATGTAAACAGAATTTTGATTCCTCAACCTCCTGTTTAGGATTAGAGAATTGAGAAATGATCTGATGATACCTAAATATAATGCAAAGCAGTTGAGATTTCCTACTTTCAGAACAGTTATAATCTACCTATCTAAGATAGAGAATAGATTCTTCTCTACTCTCTTTTAGTATGAATATACAACAAAAACAACAAAAAAAGTTTAAAAACTCTTCAAAAATCACATTTATTCAAAATAATGTGAATAGAAACTCAAATTGCATTTATTCTTGTCTTCAAATTGCATTTGAATAAAAAGTTGATTTTATACTGCTTCAGGAGCTGAATTTTGATGCTGAGCAAAAATATGTCATTTCTCATTCAAGCTACTACTGCTTTTTACCTCAAAAGTCTGAGATAAAGTCAAGAGTAGTGATCTATGAAAGAAAGAGATCAAGATATCAATTTAATCTAAGATCTGATATCATGTCTGACCCTGATATTCTGATGAGTGATATTATAGATAAAGAAAATGAGTTTGATACTATACAGCTCATAAATATCTATAATGAAAAGTCATTGAAGAAAAATAACAATATCTGAACAATTAATAGAGGATTTCTGAAGATAACTTTATCAAGAAACTCTATAATTGCAGGAGATTTCAATGCACATCATCTCTGATGAAATTCAGAATGCAAGAGAGCAGTGAGAGCTGATAATCTGATTGAATGAATCTTTGAGCATTCAATAGATTTGATTAATAAGTCTGATCAACAAACATTCTTTAGAAAAGACATGAAACAGAAGTCTATTATAGATCTAACATTCATGTCATAAAATCTAATGAAAAGAAGACTTGTAAACTGGTTTATTGATTCAAATGAGACATCAGAATCAGATCATGAGATTATTCAATTTGATATTGAACTGAGTGAAAAATAAATGAGTGAAAATCCTCTTCTCTCTAATCAGTATAACTTTGAAAAAGCTGATTGAAAAGCAGTTGAAGAAAGCATAAAACTGTTAAAATCTGAAAGACAGAATGAGCTATATTGAAATTCTGGTCAAGAGATCTCAAATGAAATGCTTAAGAATAGAGTGAAGCTTATTACATCTATTATTCTAACAAGTGTTAGAGATAATATTTCAAAAAGAAAATCTTCTGAGTATTCAAAACCTTGATGAAATGAGAATATCTCATCTAAAAGAAAAGAATTAGCTACTGCTAGAAGAGATTGAAAGAATGATGTAATATCTGATAAAGAGTTCAAAGCTGTCAGAAATGAATATTTTTCAGATATTAAAAGAGCTAAAACAGACTGCTGGAATAAATTTCTTAAAGAAGTACAAGAAAAGAAAGTTTTTAAAGCTTTTAACTATACTAAAACAAGAAGTGTAGCAAAACTTTCAGCTCTAGAATATGAGTTTCAGAATGAATCATATACAGCAAACTCTTTTGAGAAAAAATGTCAAGCTTTTATGAGAATTCTCTTTCAGAACTCACCAGATTCAGATTCAGATTCAGAGAAAGAGAATATATCACTTCTCAACTACATTGATGAAAATGACTGGGAATGGCCTGATCTTACACAAGATGAATTAGAGTCAGCTATCTTCTCAAGTTCTGTTAAAACTGCTGCAGATCCTGATTCAATTAATCACTTGATTATTCAAAATACATATTCCTACTTAAAGAATGAATATTTTGAGCTCTTTTTCAATCTCTTGAAAAATGAATATCATTCTGAATGCTGAAGAGAAGTCACTGGAGTGATTCTTGCAAAATCTAATAGAAAAACTTCAATTCCTAAGTCATATAGAGTAATATCTCTATTGAACTGTCTAGGAAAGGTTTTAGAAAAGATAATAGCTACTCAACTATCTTTTATAAGCTCTATAGATGATTCTCTTTTATTCAGTGAATAAATGAGAGATAGAAAACAGTGTTCTGCAATTGACACTGTTCTCTCAGTTATTCATGATATTCAAATAGCAAAGCATGAGAGTCTGGTCTCAACTGCAGTTTTTATTGATATAAAAGAAGCATTTGATCATGTTTCAAAGTCAAAGTTAATTCAGACATTGAAGATATTAAAACTGTCACTTTCTCTAATAAAATGAGTTAACTGTTTTATATCTAAAAGAATTATACAACTTTTCTTTGATGAAATGAAATAAGACAAGACTGAGATAAAAATAGAAGTATCACAGAGATCTTCAATCTCACTCATTTTATTTGCAATATACACTGCATATCTATTCAAAAATAGAAATATGAGAATAGTGTGATCTTCAAGTTATGTGGATGATATTGATCTAGTCTACAGCTCAAAAACTATTAAAGAGAATTTGAAAGTAATTGAAGAAGCTGTAAAGAAAATCTTTGTTAGAGCAGATATTAATTAAATTCAATTTAATATGAATAAAACTGAGTTAATTCATTTCTTTTCTAGATTCAATGAGAAAGAACTATCTCTAACTCTTTTAAATAGAGAGATTAAACCCAGTGTAAATGTCAAATGATTAGGAGTATGATTAAACTCCAAGTTGAATTTTAAATATCATATTCAACAAAGAACTGTCAAGACAGAAAGACTATTGAACAACATAATCAGACTATCAAATACAGAGAGAGGTCTATCCTTTCAGGCTATGAAACAGTTATATATAGCCTGTATTACATCAGTAGCTGATTATGAAGTTCAAGTTTGATGAAATAATCAAGGGAATTTCACTGAACTCTTTCAAAGTCTGCAAAACAGAGTCTTGAGAAGAATTCTGAGAGTATTCAAATCATCTTCTATTAAAGCAATGGAAATTGAAGCTTCAATTTCTTCTCCTGCTATTAGATTTGAAAAGGCCTGTATGAACTATGCTCTGAGAGTTGTAAAGATGAGCTTAAATCATATAATCAGAGAAAGAGTCTCTTCTTCATTTTCATCAATTAACTCTGGAAATGAACTGGATTGAAATAGATTTCTTGATTGAAATGAAAATAATTCTTCAAAGAAAATATCTTCTCAACTGTACAGACTATGCTCTCTGATTAAAAATCAATTTTCTTCTTTAAATGTTGAAAAACTTGATCATGAGAAGTTATCTTTCTGAAGAAAAAAGCTTGAATCTCTTATAAACTTACAAATAAGTGAACTATCAAAAGAGAAAGAATATGAACAGCATTTGAAGAGAATTTCTACAATCAATATAAAAGACTCTATTCTGATTTATTCAGATGACTCAAAAAATGAGAACTTGAATAGATTAGGCACAGACATTGCTTATACTGAAGATAATATTAATTTTATCTCAGATTTCTGAAATCTAGACTCTGAATGTGAAGTCTTTGATGCTGAACTATTTGTAATAGTGAAAGCTTTCAAACTCATTGAAATAAAATCTCATAAAAGAGGAAATTGTTTGAAAGAGATATGAATATTCTCTGATAGTCAAGCTGCTTTAAAAAGACTTAGAAATAGTCAGATTCATAATGATCAAATGAATCTTGAACTGATCTTAAACTCTGTTTTAAAAATTCAAAAGAGAAGAATATCAAAACTGAGAATTCATCTGCACTAAGTTCCTGCTCATATGAATATTCATGATAATGAATTGACTGATTCAGCTGCAAAAAAGAGTGCAGAATTAAGCAGATCTATTCAAAAAATTATGTTCTGATCTTTTATAAAGAGAAAAATAAAAGAATCTTGTTTAGATAAGTGGAATGAAAGCTGGCAGAAACAAAAGAAGAGTATACATTATTCAAGATTTGAAATAAAACCCAAGTGAAAATCTTGTTCAATTAAATGTAAAAAGAAAATATTCTCATCTATAATACAGCTGAAACTAGAACATGACTATTTCAAATCTTATATACAAAGATTTGATGATAGATTTGACTCAATAGAATGCTCATTCTGCAATACAAATGAGAACCCTGAGTATATTATAATGCACTGTGTATTATATAATAGTCTCAGAGTCAGATTGAAAGAGAAGTATGATCTAAATCAATTAAATATGAGATTCTTATTCTCAACTGAGACAGGAATTAAATACTTAATAGACTTTCTATCAGAAACTCAAGCAGCTATAAGAAAATGGCTAAATTCAGAATTATCTGAATATGAAGAGGAGGAAATCAATCAGATATAGTCTGTTAAAACAGCTATACACTCTCTTTTAATAATTTGTTTTGTTATAGTCTCTCTTTACTTTATCTTTTTCTGTATCTTTTTCTTTCAATTTCTTTCTATCTATCTATTTAATGTGTCTATCTTTGAGACTGTGTTCTTTCTCTCTTTTCTTTTGTCATGATATTGTCAAATGATTTCAAAGTATTAAAAGATGTTAAAACACTGCAATTTGTAAACAGTTTTTGTATTCTGAGCTGGAATTTTCTGATTTTGCATATCTGAAATTGATGAATGTACAATAGTTAACTTTACAGACATAGAAAAAACCCTGAGAACTAAAGTTCTCAGGTAGATGTCATAGTCTCTGACTGCATACATCTATAATTGAAGAATAATAATAATAATAGTATACAGAGCTGTATATATACAGTATATACTGAACTGAGAGACTGTATAAGTTATAAATCAGCAGCAGTATCTCAGAAAGAGCTGTGTAGTATGAAAAAGCTATAACTCTCAGTTATATACACAGAGAGTGAATCATCACAGTAAGTGTATATACATTGTATAAAAGTAATACTTTTTAATAGCACTTAGTCTCTAATATTATAAAAATAAAGTCTCTCTGTGAGATCTGTTTTTATCAGAAGTCAGAGAATCTTATATTTTTTAAAATTATCTTCACATGTCTTATCTATAAAATCAATGAAGAGAATCATCAATTTCAGTATTCTATTCTTAATATTATTCAAGTGACAGCAGAGTTCATTCTAGCCATACTTTTTGAATGTATATTTTCTAAATATTCACATTTATACAGATATATACTGATTATTTATTAGATAATATTAAGATAATAGCTCATCACAGTTATGTTATTCTCACTATAAGAGATACACAGTTGATGATAAAGACTGTAAAGACTCTGAGAAGTAAGTATTTTAAGAATACTATAACTCTATAATCTTGATTTTTTTTATTTTTATTTTTTATTTTTTTTCTTTTTCTTTTATTTTTTTTTTTCATTGTGATTTTTTCTTGTTTTTGTTTTATTTTTTATTTTTTATTTTTTTTTTATATTTTATATTTTTTTCATAATTAAAATTATATGAATTATAGTCTGTGTTTAGAAAAGTAATGATATTTGATAATACTTTCTATTAAATTTTCAACAAATGAGTACTATGTTATGATATTATGTAAGTGAGAAGTGATTTCATAATCTTATTTAATATCATTCTCAATAATGAGATCAGAATGAAAATATGACTAAGAATTCAAATATATTCTTTATTCAGAACTAGATTTTTATTTGAAAAGTAAATCTGAGATCTTTAATATTTAAAATAATGTGATTTGAAATTAATATAATGAATATAAATTATGATCAGAAGTAATACTTTTAGATAATATAATAACTATAAAGTTTGATTCTGATTTCAGACACAGTCACACGGTCAGTTTAGTTCTTATTCTCAACTGAGATAGAAATTAAATACTTAATAGACTTTCTATCAGAAACTTAAGCAGCTACAAGAAAATAAGTGAATTCAGAAATATCTGAATATGAAGAGGTGGAAATTGATCAGATATAGTCTGTTAAAATAGCTATACACTGACTCAGTGACGTAGTAATTAACTACACTATTGTGAAGTCTTAATTAGCGGCCTTCCCCCCGGGGAATGAATGTTAAAAGAGAGCAGATTTGAACTCTGTGAGAGTCATCTTAATCACAGCTTTCACTGTTAAGTTATAAAACAGTATCAGAGATTCTCAGATACACTATAGTAAATCATTATCAAGCTTAAGATATTTATCTCAGAGATTTCTGAGCACTAATTCTCACTGATTATAGAATTAACAGTTCTCTGAGTACTTTAAATTAAATCAGTACTAGAGTGATTAAGATTTAGAGTATCTGCAGAATAGTAAATTATTATTAAGTTTAACTGATCAGATCTTATTTCTCTCACTCTAGACACTCACTTTCAGAGAATTGATATTTAAAAACTATCTAATTAGAACATCTCAGGTCTAGTAAGAATCTAGATAAGATGAGATTTAGATGCTTTTAATAGATGATTAATATAAATAAAACTGTAACAGTTAATTAATAGACTGAAATACTGAGATTAACAGCTGAAAGATTAGAAACTTAACTAGAATTGAGTAGCTCTGATATTATTCTTAGTGAGAATCTCACTTATAAGTAAGCTAGTTACAGAAGCTAGCTGAGTGACAGCTCTTTAGAGAGAATGATAATCTCTGAAACAGGTCTGAGAGAACAAAGACAGCGGTCAGTTATATAGAGTGTTAAAATATGTATATAGCTTAAGATATAAACTGCAGAGATCTTATTCTATAAATTTATCTTTAAGACTATATTCTCTTTTCCTTTATCATGATATTTTCAAATGATTTCAAAGTATCAGAAGATGTTAAAATACTGTAATTTGTAAACAGTTTTTGTATCTTGAGCTGAAATTTTCTGATTTTACATATCTGAAATTGATAAATGTATAATAGTTGACTTTATTATTATTATTATTATTCTTCAATTATAGATGTATGCAGTCAGAGACTATGACATCTATCTGAGAACTTTTAGTTCTCAGGGTTTTTTCTATATCTGTAAAGTTAACTATTATACATTCATCAATTTCAGATATACAAAATCAAAAAATTCCAGCTCAGAATATAAAAACTGTTTATAAATTACAGTGTTTTAACATCTTCTGATACTTTGAAATCATTTGACAATATCATGACAAAGGAAAAGAGAACACAGTCTTAAAGATAAATATATTAAATAGATAGATAGAAAGAAATTAAAAGAAAAAGATAGAGTAAAGAGAGACTGTAATAAAACAAATTATTAAAAGATAGTATATAGCTGTTTTAACAGACTATATCTGATTGATTTTCTCCTCTTCATATTCAGATATTTCTGAATTTAGTCATTTTCTTATAGCTGCTTGAGTTTCTGATAGAAAGTCTATTAAGTATTTAATTTCTGTCTCAGCTGAGAATAAGAATCTCATATTTAATTATTTTAGATTATACTTCTCTTTCAATCTTACTCTGAGACTATTATATAATACACAGTGTATTATAATATACTCAGAATTCTTATTTATATTACAGAATAAGTATTCTATTAAATCAAATCTATCATTAAATCTTTGTATATAAGATTTGAAATAGTCATATTCTAGTTTCAGCTGTATTATAGATGAGAATATTTTCTTTTTACATTTAATTGAACAAGATTTTCACTTGAGTTTTATTTCAAATCTTGAATAATGTATACTCTTCTTTTATTTCTGTCAGCTTTTATTCTACTTATCTAAACAAGATTCTTTTATTTTTCTCTTTATAAAAGATCAGAATATAATTTTTTGAATAGATCTACTCAATTCTGCACTCTTTTTTACAGCTGAATCAGTCAATTCATTATCATGAATATTCATATAAGCAGAAACTTAGTATAGATAAATTATCAGCTTTGATATTCTTCTCTTTTGAATTTTTAAAACAGGGTTTAAGATCAGTTTAAGATTTATTTGATCATTATAAATCTAACTATTTCTAAGTCTTTTTAAAGCAGCTTGACTATTAGAGAATATTTATATCTCTTTCAAACTATTTCCTCTTTTATAAGATTTTATTTTAATGAGTTTGAAAGCTTTCACTATTATAAATAGTTCAGTATCAAAGACTTCAGATTCACAGTCTAAATTTCAGAAATCTGAGATAAAATTGATATTATCTTCAGTATAGACATGTCACGCTCCCGGCCGCGCCAAGGCCTCATGGCGGTTCCACACGGGTCATTGCTTTCATGCGGATGATTTCATCCTGTCTGAACCAGTTCTCAACCACTCTATGACATTATTTGAATATATTATAGAAAGATTTGATTGATGAATATGAGAACCTCACTTCTATACAAGATCAGCAGATTACTCTTTCTTGACAGTGAGATGTTACTGAGGTATTACTCTGACTATTCTTACTCATGAAATAAGAGAAGAGTATTCACTCATTGTCTATATAAAATAACTAGATACTGGCTCTTCATCAAAGAAGTCAGTGATTCATTTTTCTTCTACTGAAATATATACAAGAGTTACTGTATTTCTCATACAATCTTCTTAGTATACTAAGTATCATATCTGTGATATTCTCACAATAACTCTGTAGTCTACAAGCTCACTATTCAAGCAAGATAGTCAAGCTCACTTATACAGCTTCTCAATAACTATCTCTACATGACACTGCTAACTAGTCATCACTTCAGTTCTGTCAGATTACAATTCAAATCACTCAATCTGATTACAAGTTTGAATCAGTCAAGCTCTATTAACAGATTAATATAATCTCACACACTCATACTGAGACTGATCTGATCTTACTCTCTGAGAGAAACTCTATATCATTCTCTAGAGTGTGTACATCTCTATCTCAGCAGAAATCTGAGATTTCTGAACTCACTGTATATTTTAATATGAGCTCTTCAATTATTCTATCACTGCTGCGGCCTCTACACATCTATATCTATTATGAAGATAGAGAGATTAAGATTGAAGATTCTTCAAGATATAAGAAAAACATATTATCTGAATTTCACAGCTTTATCTGTATTCTTGAACAGAAATTCTGCCTTAATCTGAGTCAGTATAATACTCATGAGGTATGAGTAATATACACTGTTAACCTTCTTGAAGACATCTCTGTGATTACTTGAGCTATCAAGAAGAGAGAGCTCAAGCATATTAATACTGTTATAACTTGAAAAGAATTCAAAGACTTTCTACTGAATTAAATCAAAGATTACTGCAACTGCAGCTTCACAGTAGTACAGTGATTCAACTTATTACATTAATAAGATGATAAGAGTTCTTCTGATTTCAATGCAAGATTTGAAGAATATTGAGAGAAATTAACTGATAATTTTAAATCAATTAAAAACACAGCTTTATCTTATGAAGCTGACTCATAAGATGCAGATAATAATATTATAGTATCAGAGTTCAGCAATCAATTACACTGAGCTTGTCATCTCATGCACGCCATTCTCCTGCCACCCGCCTCCACTACCTTAACGATACTGGGAAATAACAACAACCTCACAGCCATAAGGCGCCTGCAAAGCCGCTGTGGAAATAATGCAGGGAAGAGCGTGAAGCGTTATAACGTTGCACGATTCAA